ATTGCAAATTGATTCACAGCCAAAAGAAAAAGGAACAGAATCAATCTGTGTGTGTGTTTAAAAGATTTTGGTCAAGAAAATTGCAAACAAATAAAGGAACAAAACGAAAAACTTTTCCAAATCTCACAAAATCGGAGAACAGTGAGTGTATATAAATTAGGATATACAAATATTATCAATATTTTGTTAATGGCCAGTCGGTCAGAAATAAAGACATAATCCATCTGTGTGTGTTAAAAAGATTTTATTCAAGAAAATTGCAACAAAGTAAAGAACAAAAACGAAATCCTCCTGAAAGTCTCAAAAGATTAGAGAACAGTGACTAGTGTATATGAGGATAAACAAATATCATTATTTTTATGATAAAGTAATAATTTCTATACAATTTTTACATTAAAAAAACAACCATGTTCATGTCATCATTGCAGCAGTACCCCCCAAGTTGTAAGTATTTCAAAGATACTGCTCATTACAACAAACATGATTGGTTAACAAAAATGCTCACGTGGCTTGTCATGCCCATGGCGACCACACTCCTCCGTAATTGGCTGGATCCGCGCTCCGTACTTCTTGTTGAGGGAAGTTTGGCGGCACTGATGTTCGGTAATAATGCCCAAGACGCTGGAGCAACTCTTCGGCAATGTCCGGACGCTCGTGGGAATAGTCCATCCGTTCATATGGGTCGACGTGTACGTTGTATAACTGGACGGACCGGCCGTTTCGACGTTCTGGATGCAATGCAGCTATTCCCGATTCGGTGGGAGGAATCCAACTGCCGTTACCTGGTGAGAAATTGACATTTAAAATCGACCTCAATGTTTGCGTTCGGGTGATCAGTGAGGGCGCAGTAACTGGCACTGACCATTGCACGATCATGATTAGTTTGACCTCGGTTAGTTGTCTGAGGTTTGACGTCATTGCTGAAATCGAGGCACCAAGCAAAACAATCATGATCATTACAGTATCTCGTTTTTTTAATATTGGTTTCAAAATGCAACTCAGAACGAGAAAACATCAGCGCCACCAAACGAATTAATTAAGAAATGATTTACAGGCGTATTGCGTGAGGGCGCCGACAGAGTGACTGCTAACAACGCCATCACGCGACGTAATATTCACCTGCGCCACCAGTAATCAGCTTCCAATCCCCGACTCTGATAGCGGCTCGCATTGATACATTGAAACAGGTACTTTCCGCCCATGGATCGTCTCTCAAGTTCCGCACTGCGGTGTACAACGGGTCGATGTTTAAAAGAATTTCAGTTCTAAGTGATGGAGTACCTTGACTGGAGGAAACAAATGAGAAAATGATGACAATATCACGTGGTACAATGCATCTGTATCATCCGTAATTTCTTTGTATAAGCGTCGGCCCGAGACGTCATTTGTTTATACGCTGCCACCCAGCATACGTGTGTTTGGCATAAAAATAACGTTCACGGAGCAGCTTTAGCTAGAGGATTATCATCAAAAAGTAGCATAAAGAGCAACATTTGCGCCCTTAGTTTGAATAACACAGTTGTGACAACCCACAGATTATAGATCAAACACAAAAAATACAATCCATTGCTTCCATACTTTACTACACGCGTGTTTGATTTTAACACGTACTGAAATAAATGACTCGGCTACACAATGAAACATAGGCAAACTCGTCAGTAAATGAAAGAACTGAAGTATATAATACAAATGACGTGGAATATGTAAATGAACTGAAATATATAAATGAACTGAAAAATGTAAATGAACTGAAATATATAAATGAACTGAAAATGTAAACTTTAATGGTTCTCGGTCCACGTCATTTTCTCTCACACACACATTGATAATCGCATAATTTAAACATTTTTTCCGGATTCCGGTGATGATAATGTTCTAATTTCCGCTCACGACTACAATAAGCCTACCTTATAGTCTCCCATTGGTTGTATCCGTCTAGTCGCCCGCCACCCATCAAATCGCCGCCAGCCAATCGGGTCAGCGTGGGGAACCAGTCACTTATGTGTATTAACTCATGGTTAATAGTGCCGCGCACTTGTTCGTGAAGTAATGGACTGGTGACAAAACCCACTCCACGAACACCGCCTTCGTACAGGGTTCCTTTCCCGCCACGTAAA